CTCTCTCTCTCTCTCTCTCTCTCTCTCTCTCTCTCTCTCTGTCTCCATCCCCCCTTTCTCCCCCGAGCACTTGTGTAGTACTACCTAATGCAGCAGCGACACATGGGCGCGCCTTGTCTTCACCAACGTAGCGCGAGTGTCAGCAATGGGGGAGAGAGTGGCTGTAGAGCTGCAACCGCTGTTCATAGTTTTCTCCATGTTCTGGAAGCACTATCCCCCACGCCCCCCCTCCTCCCCGGTTTTCGGGAGGCATCCCTTGGGCAGGTAGCACGTTTTCACATGCTCTGCCCTCCCTTTTTCTGAACCCTTTAGCGGCTAGATGAAAATTTTGGGGTAAGCAGGCCCTGACGCTCCGAACCAGAAATTTGTGCAATATTTTCCAGTTCTGCCTCTCTCTTGCACGGTGGTGCTGTGGGCGGGGGGCAGTGAAGGTCTTGACCATACTTGCGGTGCCCATGTGCAGTGTGCAGTACGGCCATGAATGATGCACGCGCATGTGCACGCGTATGTGCACGCACCGTGCACACCACTCAGATATGTGCAGTGGGCGGCGAACTTTTTATGGTGCGCCCGGTTCTTTTTTGAAATTTTATTTTGAGGGTAGAGGGGTTTTCTGTGTGGTGTGTGTGCGTGAGTGAGAGTGAGATAGTGAAGAGTTCACAGAGGCAGATTTCTCTTGGGAAGCACACACATATACTTTCTTTTTTGTGCGGCCCTTCCAGCAATATTGGCTGCGGTGGGAGACGATGTTTCAGCCCCCCCCGCCCCCCTCACCCCACCCCCCTACCATTTTCGTTTCAGATGACCCCCTCTTTTTTGGTCTTGCAGCATACCGCATGTGTGTGCAATGTGTCTTACACCACGCGTGCAGGACCGCCGTGCACATGGTGTGCCACAAGTATGGTTCTGAATATGGTGGGATGACCCCCTCTTTTTTGGTCTTGTAGCATACCGCATGTGTGCGCAATGTGTCTTACACCACGTGTGCGGGACCGCCGTGCACATGGTGCGCCACAAGTATGGTCCTGACTATGGTGGGTGGCTGGGACACAAGGGGGTGATGTTTGGAGACCAGTGCTGACTGGTGCTTTCCCTTTAGGGGGCTGGTAGACGGGAGGGATTTTGGACGAGCAGTATTTGATGTATGTTCAATTTTGAGAGTTGGTCGGCCGGTGGTGCTTCATGTCATTGGCACTTTTTACCTTCAAGACTTAAGCGGAGGTTAACTTAGAGAGACAACAAGTGTGGTGGATGGTTATGCCTGCACAGTATGAGAAAGAATTTCGGGTGGATTTGTTGAAGCTACGTCATATGTTAACTCATTGGGTGGATACTGGATCATTTACTTAATTGACTTTCTGCAAGGATGCTGGAACGCAGCCTGTAGTCAGGTACAGGGTCTGGCAGCCAGAAAACAGAGAATAGGGTGGAGACACATTTGCTCTGCTGGAGGGATTTTGGAAGAGCATTACTTGCTGTATTTTGAGACTCGGTCTGCTGGTGGCGGCTGGCGGCGCTTCATGAGGATTGTGGAAGAGCATCACTTGCTGTATTTTGACACTCGGTCTGGTGGTGGCGGCTAGCGGCGCTTCATGTCATTGACACTTTTTGCCTTCAAGAATTAAGCAGAGGTGAACTTAGAGAGAGGACAAGTGTGGTGGATGCTTATACCTGTACGGTAGAGGACAAGTGTGGTGGATGCTTATACCTGTACGGTATCGGAAAGGATTTCAGGTGGCTTTGTTGAAGGTATACCATTTGTTTACTCGTGGGGTGAATACTGGATCTGCAAGGATGTGGGAACGCAGCCTGTAGTCAGGTACAGGGCCTGGGAGCCAGAAACAGGAGGGTAGGGTCGAGACACATTCGCTCTGCTGTATCTCTGTGAAAGGATTTCATGATGTACCAGAGTCCCGAGTCCCAGGTCCTAGTCTCAAGTCCCATGTTCCAGTCCTGAGTCCCAGGTTCTAGACCCAAATCCCATTCCGTGTTCTATTAGTGGTTCCAGCCACTTGTACTCTAGTATTTTTCGTTTGTACCATGATTGCACAGGCCTAGGTGAGCTAGTTAAGTAGATCGTGATCGGAAGTCCCTGGTAGATAACAGTTATGGGTTGAAGAGTCTGTCTTTAGGAGGCACCACGACTTCAGCCAGGATCATTAGAGCCGTTAGGCCAGGTGTCAGTCGATTCACGCAAGCAGCCAACCCAAGAAAGTCCGTGAGCTTCCAGAAGCAGGGAACAAAGGCAAGAGGGCCAACCCATAGCTAACAGAAGATGTCTGGAAGGCGGATCAGCAAATATAAAAGCTCAGCTGCACCAGCCAACGGGATCAACTATTCATGTGCAAATTGTGGAAGCGCTGTGGGTTGCTTGTGCGACAGTGGGACATGGATGGGAGGGGACGCTAGAGGAGGAGCAAGTGCCCAGCGAGGAAGGAGACGTCTGGTTATCATAGCTAGGGAGGAGGAAGAAGACGGCCATATTTGCAGAGGTTCAGAGGAGTACATCACAGCTGTATTCACGGTGGATCCATTAGGGAGAGGGAGAGCATGAGCGTGACAGGGAGGTTGAGCGATACAAGACATGAGAGAGAGAGGGAGAGAGGGAGAGCAGTTACATATCTGATTCATCTATCGGTGTCCAGTGTGACTTCTCACATGAATGTTCTACTGCGTGTGCTGTGTGATTGCATGCTGATTGGGAGTTGAATCATTGCATATGCAGCTTCAGTTCTGCTTGGTTGAAGTAGTTACGGTCATCTGTCCCCTTTCATCTATCAGCTATTGGGCTGTAAGCAGAGTATTCTCTCCTACTCTCTCCCTCTTTGGTCCTTGGATGCACTCATGCTCTTGATGAGATGCAGTGACACACAAGAGTTTCTCTGCATGTGGTTTAATTTGATACAACAAGCCTTGTAAGAGTGGGGTGTACTTCATACAGGTGCTGCATGGATGTCGTCAGCTCTGCCTCAACGTTTACCTGACAGTAGGCCTGGAAAGCTGCGAGGGCCTGGACAAAGTCGCACTTCGCATCCTCTACAGGGTGTGTGGTTTGTGCCTGTGACTGGTTTTACTGACCCTGGGGATGGCACCTGAACCCTCGATATTGGAACTTGTCTCGGCCCATGCTCCCCACAATATCTCAACATTCGAGCATGGCAGCATGTTGCTGCTTCAATGATGACAAGTATGCAAAGTTATATGTTGATGATGGGTCATCCAGTCATCCATCTAATGAGACACCCGCACATCCATTTTGTGAAACTGGCACCCTTTATGAGCAACGTGAAGTGGATGCATCATCTTGCTGGTGTTGTGTGCACACAGGCTAACTTGTTGCAGTTGCTTTGATTATTCACTGATCTTTCTTGCCCACGGATCTATTGGCTTTATTTTATGGACAATGTTGTATGTTATTGCAGTTTAGATGTGACTGAAATTGCGGAGACGTTGATCATGCGTCTCAAGGGGCGATATGCAGGGTTAGCGTTAGATTATCATGGAGGTGGATGTAAAGTTGTACGTGCATGTCTGGCAACCCCCTCAGGTGAGTTCTGAAGTTACAGAATGAACGGTCATCCTGCAACCACCCCACTTTTATGAATGCGCCTGGAAATCCCACATCTGACCCTGAACCCAGCCGATCAGCCAATCATGCTTGAGCTAAGGCTTATCTGCAAGGTTTCAGGACGGATTACATCATTACTGGTAGAGTATATAGGGCATTTTTTTTTCGTAGGGAATGCGATAACTTGGGCTCTTTCCTTTTGAAGGTTGATCGGGTGTTGACATTATTTTTCCCCACCATGATCTCCCCCCCGGGGCCCTCGATTTTTCATGGCCATAGAGCTCAAATTTGTGTGTGATTCCTTGTTGAAAATTGTTCCTACCATCTTCACCCGAATGCATCTACTCGTGATTGCTAGGGCAGAAAATACCTGTTTGGCTATGTGGCCTTGATAGGCGTAACGCAAAGATTGTGAACCTTAGATATTGTGTCTAATCTATGGGTTCTAGCATTTTTTGAATTGGCGACGTATAAATCATTGTTTCTGGATGTGTACCTTTTAGGCTAGTACCTGGACCTTGAACCTTGATCTTCTTGGACAGCATGGAACTGTTGAAGGCTTAGTTCTGTTGTGCTGTTGCTTCCTGAGGACAGGAAACTGAAGACATCTATATGACTTTGGTGCTGAGGTCACATATTCACTGCCGTAGCAGTGCCCCTTAGTACTTTCTGTTCCTCTCGGTAGCCCATCACATTTCGATGCTTTGGGTCTACTTGCTGAATCAGCGGATTTTTCCAGAGTTGGGCCAGAGGCGGATTCGGTTCACCACAGCAGAACTTCTGGAGTCTGGCCAGAGGCACGTTCAGTCCAGTACTAGCAGAACCTTCCAGAGTCTGGCCAGAGGCACATTGGGTCCAACAACAAGTATATATTCAGTACTCACGATCAGGCCAGCAGCTCATTCTTTCGCGAAGAGTGGAAGTGCTGCTGGAACGACTTGTGCTGCATCGTGACTGATGTTTCTTCAACGCTGGAGGTCTGCAGGGCGCCCGGGGGACGAATTGGGCTGGTAGAGGGAGATGAGTGGCAGCTATAGCGGCCCAGTAGACAGCCTGGTAGGATATCCAGGTAGATCATAGCTGGTGTAGAGAGAGAGAGAGAGAGAGAGAGAGAGAGAGAGAGAGAGAGAGAGAGAGAGAGAGAGAGAGAGAGAGAGAGAGAGAGAGAGAGAGGGTTAACTTCCGCGGTGTATATGAGAGAGAGAGAGTGGAGTTAAGTGCTGTGAGTGCCGAGTGTGAGGCTGAACTGGTGCAAAGCGCCCAAGCCTTCCAATGATGTAAATGAGTTCTTTTAATAAAATTTGAGTTTCTCTCTTATCTGGTTTCCGTGAAAATTTGCATGCCAAGAGTAAGCAAACTACAGAGATCATTTCAGAACTTTTCAAGTGTGTTTGGTGCTTGAGACTTTAACTCGAGACTTCATGGACGCAGATTGCAGGCTTACACATCTTGCAAACCATACTGGATCCCATAAAACTTCTACGACATCATGCTTGGTCCATCTTTTTGGTAACAGCGGTGACATTTGTATGCCTTGTTTTCTACCTCACATCACGTGTCTTTTATCTGGTCTTGGTGGCTTTTTCTGCTTTGCCTTTGTTACTATGTCATGCACAATCAGTTGATGACTATTGCCGCCTGGAGATTGTCGACGAAATGCTGCAGTTGAGGTCCCTCTCTGCTATATTCGAGCAACCACAAGCAGTTGATGTTCTGGCATTTGGCTTGGCGACGCTCTCAGGCCGGTTCGTATGTCATCCAGAATGCCCATGTGTTTCTCATCTTTTGTGGTGGGCAAAAACCTCTCTCTTGAATCTTTTCTCAATTACGACAGACTTTTGTGGTGGGCAAGAAGCTTTCTTCTCTAAATTACAACAGACTTTTGTGTGTGAGGGCAGAGATCGTTGTGCGTGTGCATGACATGATAAAAAGTATTGAAAAAGTTACTTCAAACGGACAAGAGTTACCACTCACCAAGGCAACTAGACGAAGAAACAAATTCCACTTGTGCTCCTGGTGAGTGCAGTTACATGAAGAACAACATCTGCTTGCTGTCCTACCCAACCTTGCATTCTGTAGCTATATGGTCATGCCCATTGAGCACTATATGGTCATGATGATATTTTTTTGTTGACAACCAGTGAAGCTGTTTTTTTATTTGAGTAATTGCACCTATTCCGGATGAATCAAATCATATTTGACCTCCAGAAAATCCATATCCCTACACTATTAAAAGTGCTAAGGGAACCAATCTCCGATCCAGGCCGTCGTCGGTCCTACCAGCCCATGGCCTGGATCGTCGGAAACTTGTAATAAATCTGAAATCTTGGTCGTCAAGTCCAACCGGATCGACGGTCTGGATCGGCGCATGGTCTTAAGATCTTAAGACCGCGCGCCGATCGGGACTGTCAATCAGGCAGGACCCGATCGAGGTCTTTTGCTGGGAACAGGTTTGCCCGTTGGAGCAGGCTGTTTCTGTGCACGGGCTTCCCAACGAGCAAAGTGGTTCCCGTAGGCTGCCCTTTTTGGTGGTGGCACGGGAAAATCCTACGGAGCGCACACGGGTGATGTAATAACTACTTTTTGCTGGCGGCGCGTGTACTGTTTTTTGGTGGCGGCACGGGCCAATTCCACAGCGTGGGAAAGATCAACCCCTGCACTGCTCTACGCTCGACTTCGACTTTACCACTTCACTCTACACTACCACACTCGACTTTGACTTTACGACTCCACTCCACACTACCACGCTCGACTTCGACTTCACATGCATCTGGCACACACACACACACACACACACACACACACACGACATGGTGAGCCCTTATCCATCAGCCAAATGCATCCCGGGCAGGCTGTCAGGGTTCAACCTCCTGATGGGTCGGTGAAAGTCCGACGAAACAGTCTGGCTTAGTCGTGCTTTTTTATGGAGTTTCATATAGCGAACGTAACGATTTTCCACCCCCCAGTCCGGAGTGTTTTCCCAAGACTGTAAGCCGGACCTCGCGGGGCCGTTACACGAGACTCAGCTTACACGCAAGGCCCGACTTACACTTTAGTAAGATTATAGAAGAGAAAACATGTCACGATAGAATATCTGATTAGTACCTCAGAACTGACAAAGAACAAAACCTGGCTCAACAATAAACTAACCAACACAATTCAAGGCCTCACAGTGCTCACAACTTAATCGACAGCATGAAGAAACACAGTGCAGTGTCCACAAGCCAGTGGTATTCATAAGGAATGCTAGTGAGTCTTCAAAAGCCTGGAGATAGAGCCTGTAACCAATGCCCCTTTGTTTTGTATGTGTGAAGCAAGGTATCGCTGCCTTGATTTTCTAAGGATGGGGGGGGGGGGGGGGGGGGGGGGGGGGGGGGGGGGGGGGGGGGGCGGTGGGGGGGAGAAATCAGTTTAATGAGGCAGACCTGAAAGAGGGGAATGACACTTGAGAGAGCGAGTTGTTCCGAATTAGGAAACAGCAGAAATTATCAATCAATTGCGTAGTGAAATGGATCGAAGAATGAAAGAACCGTTCAAAATGAGCGATGAGCCGATGGATTAATGCATCAGTGAACGAATCTGGAACGAACGAATGAATGGTGAATCAGTCATGGCAGGTGTTTACCTGTCATCTTAACTACTAGAGTCTGGTAAACTACCCATTATGTGTTTTGCTGGATGCAGGATATCGACTGAATGTTTGGGGCTCGTTTGGTGCTTTGTTGGTTGCAGAGTGGTGACTGAATGCTTAGTATTCCTTGCAACGCATCCCTGGCACCACCATGTGATTGGAGACCCGGAATGAACGAATGAGCGAATGAATGAATGAATGAATGAATGAATGAATGAATGAATGAATGAGTCACGGCAGGTGTTCACCTGTCATCGTAACTAATAAGGCCTGGTAAAGTGCCAATTATGTGCTTTGCTGGTTGCAGAATATTGTCTGAACATTTGGGGTTTGTTTGGTGCTTTGCTGGTTGCAGAATGTTGACTGAACGTTTAGGATTTCTTGCAGCGCATCCGCGGCACCACCATGAAGTTCGAGACCTGGTCGATAAGTATCGACAACATATACAGGAACAGGGCCCTTTGATATCGTTGATTCGGAACCTTTCTGGAAGTCTCTCCGGCAATCCAGACCGTTCAATTTCAAAGAGTCCTATGTCGTCCGCGTCCTTCCCTCCATTGGCGCCACTACCAAACCTAGGCGGAGTCCAACGCCCTCCTCCTCCTCCTCATCCTCTGCATCCTCCTCCTCCCACTGGGTATCTCTGTCCTCCAGATACTGGTTTTCCCAATCCTCTGGGACCCTCTTATGCACCGACTGGAACACCTGGTCCGATTGGCTTGTTCCCACCGCTTTCTAATCCTGATCCAGGAACAGGAGCATTTAACAGGACTGCTGCAGTGGGCTCAGCGTTCTCATCTGAATCTACCCAAGGGTTGGCAAGTCTAAACATTCCTACTACTGGGGACTCTCTTAACTTGTCTGCACTGACACAAACACTACCTCAGTCCTTCAAACCACCAGAGGGGTCTCAAGTACCTGGGGCCGTACTTGGTACCAGCAGTGAGACAGGGACTGGAGTGGCAGAACGATGGGCTGTGCGTTCTGTATCAACCAGCCAAGATTCTGGCCAAGGAATAGGACCATCTGGAGGGAGCTCTACATACCTGCCTCCGCATCTTCGGGGATCTTCTCCAGTCAACTCCGCCGTGACGGCCAGAGTAGCAGCTGCATCAGCTCCAAGTACAAAAACAGAGAATGAGGAAGGGTTGATGGCAAAAGATCAAACTGCTGGAAAGAATTGGGCTAGTCTTGGTGACGACATAACCGGGAAGAGCATGCAGGCAGGACAAACGATGGAGAAGCCAGATTTGCTGCGTACTCGTAGTGATGGGAAAAGTGCCATTGATGGGAAAGGAAGAGAGCAAGGGCTCTGTGTAGTTTGCAATTTGAAGCACATTAATGCGGTATGTGAACTCTTTTTCTCTCTTCCCTTTTTGGATCTTTTGTCGTCCATCTTCACTCATTTTTATGACTCTGCTCTCCGCCAGTGGGTTTTGTTTCAGTGTGAATGCTATCTCAAGGGTGAAAAAAGAAAAGCAAAAAAGAAAAAAAAGGGTATGGTCTTCTCCCTTAATTCTGGTCCTGATGTACTCATCGTGTGTCGCTGGGAATGGGATGATAACTCTGAGGGTGTGACTTGGGCAGGCGAGTCTCAGAGTGCACTGGGAGACCCTGCAACTAGAATGGGTGGAATGCTGGCTTTCTGTGTCGGAATTTGGAGAGGATGAGGTTGGTGTTGCTGTCCGCACAATTTGGATGGGCAGTATGTGGTTGCTTTTACTGACGACATGGTGTCGATGGGTGCTCTGTTTCTGTTTTTTTCTTGCCCTGATTTGCATGTGTACAGGTGCTTATGGGATGCGCTCACTGGTGCACCTGTCTGGCATGCGCTAGCAAGTTGTCCTTGTGCCCGATGTGCGATTCTCCCATAACTGGTATGCTTCCGGTGCAAATTGCGGCAGATAACAGCTCATCTGGGAAAGCAAACACTGACAACTCTGCAACGGAAACTATACACCTTGTGTCTGAATCAGTGTCAGCGTCGGCTTCTGAGAAGGAGCAGGTTGGAAACAAAGTTGCCTTTAACAATAATGGGGGACCACGAATCCATGAGTCAGCTTACTCTGCAGCAGGTGTGACCAATAAAGCCGATGTCGCTGGGGTTGCAATGTCTGTATCATCCGCCCTGACATCTTTTTATCCTTCAGGTGGCCACGCTTTCAGTACTTCTCAAGAAGAAATGGCCCCATCCAGCACAGCAGAACCCTTGTCAGGGTCTATGTTGACCCGCTTGCTGCAACCCGAAGAGGCATCTGGTACTCCAGACTCATCGGGCATGGGAGCTCTCGAAGGCACAATGGCGAAGCCTCCCACTGGGCCACCTTCGGCTTCTGCGCCTCTTTCCACGCTGCATAATAGGCCCCCTGTTTCCACTCTAGACCAAAGCTGGCCACCAACTGGCATGAGTTCAAACCTCGTCAGTGGCTCAGGGATAACAACAATGCCACCAAGTTTCATGGGCACATCTGGAACCATGCCGGCGTTCTCGGGAATGTCGTCAACAGAGCAGGTTCATCCCCCTCCTCCCTTGCAGTATCCGCCACATCCCTCGCACTCACCTTTTCCATGGCATCAGGGTCAGTCTTCACATGCACAGGGGCTTCATGCACAGCAGCAACCTCATGACTCAACCTACCGGACATTCACATCTCAAGCACCGTATCCAAATTCGTCAATGTATCTTTCGTACAGTGGCTTGCCTCCGCCCCGAGTAGGTGGGAACCCGATGGTCTATTTGCAGTCTCCGGGACTTATTAGCTCACAGTCATCTGTAACTGGCATACCTGTCACGGGTTCGATTGCACAACCAATGTTGACAGCTTTCCAGCAGCCCCAGGTCCCTGTGACCATTCCACCAAGCCCTGCTCCAAGCAACAACAGCAACACTAATATGGTCTTGCCGTACCAGGTTCCCGTGACCCAGCTTCCAACAGTCCCAGGGTCCCATGACCACACCATCCAGTCCTTGGAATTTAATGAAGTGAACTCACAGGGGATAGTGGCGGCAGGTTCCACATTGGTACAGCCTGTGGCCCCATCGACAGCACCAGGGAGCTCACTGTCCAATGGAGGGGTTGTGCACCAAAGCCAGAGTACCTTGTCTACTGGAGGAGGATTTGCACCACAGAGCCAGCCTTCCCTGCCCACCGGAGCCGCTATGCAACAGAGTGTGAGTTTGGCAGCAGTGACCTCAAGCAATGGGAGTGAGCAAGGAGCTATTCGGACAGCATTTCGACGTCCTGGTACAAGCCTTCCGAAGCCAGCCCCGTATCGTCCACCGGGTGTATATCGTCCTCCTATGTGAACTTTGCAAGTGTCAGTGACAGCATTTCGACTTCCTGGTACAGGCCTCCCGATGCCAGCCCCATATTGTCCGTCGGGTGTACATCGTCCTTCTATGTGAGCTTCGTAAGTCTGTCACTGAAGTTGGATGTTCTTGCGACTATTCTATTTGTTGCCAGAGTCTAAAGGACAAACTGCTGTTCACTCAGCTTGCTATCACTTAGCACTCAATTGGTTGTGAGATTGGGAGTCTCATTCCACTTGAAACATCATGTGACTTAGTTCCATTGGGAAGATGTTCAGTCACCCAGCAAGATGTCTGATCGGAACAAACTGTGTGCTGCTGCCATTATGTTGGGAGGGTGCAGAAGAGAGCAGTTGAGGTGATGTTTGGAAGATGTTCAGTCACCCAGCAAGCTGTATTGATGGGAAGAAACTGGGTGGTGCTGCCATTAGGTTGGGAGGGTGCAGAAGAGAGCAGTTGAGGTGATGTTTGGAAGATGTTCAGTCATCCATGAAGCTATCTGATGCGAATAAACTAGGTGGTGCACCCATTAGGTTGGGAGGTACTCCTTGAGGGTTAGCGTATCTTCAACTGGTAACGATGGTTGGCTGACTAAGGTTTGCATGGGGTGCAGATTTGAACAGCACTGGCCTGTTGCACTTCCTTGTTGTACAGCTGCTATAGATCATCACGGGGGATCACAAGAGAACTGCTCAACATTCTCTTTCTCTCTCAACGGTTACTACCTTCAATAGGCGCACGGGGAGGTGTCGAGTATCTCGCGGCAATGCTCTTCATATTTGGAACACAACGGAGTTCTTTTGTTCTGTGGTCTTCAAGGAGGTCCATCATTCTGGCCTAAGGATTGAATTCCTAGATTTACTGGTCACAGGTAACGAAGCCATCACTTCGAGCTGGTTAGGTCATTCGGGGGTGCCTCTGCGCATCAGTCAGATCCAGTTCATATGGATGGTTACGAAAACAGCAAGCTGCCTTGGTTGGCTATTGCCAACCAACATGCCTTGTAGTAGCAGCTGACAACGAAGATGAATAATCACAAGTATTGGTTGCAGTGTCGGCGAACCGTAGTAGATGTGTGATTGGTGCTTGGGTAAGAATAATGTACCATAACCTGAGTGATTGTGAGGCACAAGGTCAGCTAATGGTGTCCAGTACTCCTCCGGGTAAAAGGAAAAGGTCAGCAGAGAACCATACACAGTACTCTGACCGTAGCTTTGTAACTTGATGGGACCCCATTTCTTGAGTAATGGATCGCACTGCGGGCAGTGCTGGGTCTGATTCTCCTTTGGCTGTGTTAAAACAAGGATGCGTTGACTTGTGTTCAGTGGGTTATGTACTGTTTCAGGTTGAAGTTTCACCACATTTGAATACTCCTGGAGGAAAGAGACAAGGCATGTGTCCGAGAGCCTTCGGTAGGGGAGCTGTTGACGTCCCTTGTTGTTTCTGTTCCCCCCTTTTCATGTAAAAAGTAGTTGGGTTGTGTAATTACAATTGGTGGTTGAAGCTAACCGTAATCACAACATGCACATTTATTGAAATGAAATCTCTCTGATGACTCTCAAGAGATAGCATCGTGCACCCTCGCTACTACTCCCGCTTGTCGTTGTTCTCTTATTCTCAGCATACCACCTCTTGTGTTGCAATCTCCTGATCCAGCTCATTTGGCTTGCGTCTTTGTTGTTTCCTTCTCTGACTCATTCAGCGACCCATTCTTCAGCTGAAGTGGCTGGTGCTCGAAGCACCTGCTCCGGTTCCTGCCGCCACCTCCTCTTCCTTCTTCATTGTCCCTCTTGCGCCTGCTCTTTCTCAAATGTGAATGTCAAAGTTTGAGCTTCTTGACAGGTCCATTTTTCAAGGCCCCTTATCCTGCCGCCGCCGCCTCTTCCTCCATCAACGTCCAGCTTGAATAGGCCCATTTTTCAGGGTGGATCCCTTCCTGCCAACGCCGCCTCTTCCTCCTTCAACATCCAGTTTGCGTTTGCACCTTTTTCCAATGTGACCGTCAAAGCTTGAGCTTCTCGATAGGCTCATTTTGTCAAGGTCCAAACTTGCCATGCTTGGAGTGTGAAGCTTGTGCTAAAAAGACACTTGGCATTCATGTTTTTATCGTGTTCAAGGAATTTCTTCAGGAAATAATTCCTTGTAGAAATTTTGTGGTCTTTTTTGGGCAGGAAGGCCCTGAAAGAATTTCTTGTAGAAATTTGTAGGTTTTTTTGGGGGCAGAAAGTTCCCCCTAAGTGTTGGATATGTGGATGAAAAAGGAACATGTCACGCTCGGCCAGGCACCTGACGCCCGGGGTACCCGGGCGTTCTGCACTCTCACAGAGGACCTCAAATCCTAGTTCTTTTCTTTTCTTGAGAGTCTGCTGGCAACGGGTGGGAAGGGGGGTATAAATAAATTGGTTTAAAAATTTGAAGGGGATAAAGGGGTTTAAAGTTTAAACTTTAAAGGGGGGTGCCTTAGTGTGATTCTGTTATTTTCTTTTTTATCTCCGATTCTGTGAGAAATTCTAATGCGACTCTCAGCTTACGATTTCTTTTTTTCTTTTTGCACTGGGGCTGCCCGGAACCCTACCCATGGGCTATGCCCAGCCGGGCACCCGGTCATCTATCCGGGTATAAGTTGGGTGCCTGGGCGCCCAGGAAAACAGCCTAGGAAAAAAAGAAAAGAAGAGAAAAAGGGAGATTCCAACACCTGTACATTGCACTTCTCAAGCTCGTGTGTTCAACTGTTTAAAACAAAAATAATAATAATCTCTTCATCTAAGGAAACAATTCAGCTGCACATGGAAGCATTCGCTATTGAACCCAGCTAGCAGCCAGTGCCGGGACTTTCCCCGTTGGTGCCATCCTGGTGGTTTGTCTGGCCCGCGCAGCAGGATAAACATTGCTGCGCCTGTCTCTTATACACATCTAGATGTGTATAAGAGACAGCACCTGTACATTGCACTTCTCAAGCTCGTGTGTTCAACTGTTTAAAACAAAAATAATAATAATCTCTTCATCTAAGGAAACAATTCAGCTGCACATGGAAGCATTCGCTATTGAACCCAGCTAGCAGCCAGTGCCGGGACTTTCCCCGTTGGTGCCATCCTGGTGGTTTGTCTGGCCCGCGCAGCAGGATAAACATTGCTGCGCCGCCCAGTCATGCTGTTCAATGAAGTTTCAGGAGAATCTGACAGTGGGAGTTCAACCATTGCAGGGGTAGTTGTTGGGGCATCGGTTCTCCAAGAGGTGCGAAGGACAAGTTGCCCTCCAGAAAACACTTACAAAGGCCGTTCCAGCATGGCAGGAATGCATGGTCTCTCTCTCTCTCTCTCTCTCTCTCTCTCTCT